GTGCAAGCCCGCATGCAAAGTCATGCCGCTGACCTGCATGCTATATCCCTGAATGGCCAGGTTGAATTCGGAAAATGTGGCCGCTGCGAGAGTCTTGTCGATGACCTCGTCACTAAGGGCACTCGTGATGATGGGTAGACTGAAATCGCGGCGCAGGCAGTGGGGTGTTGAGGTGACAGATAATCCTTAGCCCGTCAGCATGGCGAGTTTTACACTCAATCGTCGTATGAGGCTAGACAGCGCAACTTACCAAGGCCCATGGGGACGGTGTGGTTTGAAAATGGTCCTTCCACAATACAGCCTATCCACTCTGTTAGCCGGATGTCACTGTGCCAAACGCTGGAGTGAAGAACTTACCGCCGCCGCTTCTACCCGGGATCGTAATCGGCTTTTGAACCGGGAACTCATCTTTATCGCTCACGTCTTCGATGTATGGTCCGTTGCCTCCGACGCCGTAAATGTTGTCAAATACAGGAGAGTTGACGAAGGTTTCGGCGGTGTTGTCTAGGCTGACATCCCAGTACGGAAGCGCGCCATCGTATGAGCATTTGTTGCGAAGCTCGGACTCGTACAGGTAAAGCATCCAACGATGCCATCTGAATACGGTACGTGAATTAGGATCAACGGAAGACTCGATGCGAGCGCTACATGTATTCCACTCACGGGAGAAATGGGCCCTGTCGCGATCAACCGTTAGACTTTCCAATCCTGATATGGCTTCACTATGGCTAAAGCATTGAGGGTAGAACTTACATTGAAATGCACCTTCTGCGTCATGTAAATGTGCATACCCTGGAAATCATCGAATCGAGACTTTGCGCCAGGCCAAAGGTCGTTGCCTTCTGAAGGCAAGACCATAAGGCACTTGACAGATCGAATATAATCCAGTCGTTGGTCCAGAGACAACTGCCGCCACTCATGTCTGATGAGAGGGTTACGGCAACATCCTGAGTGTGTTCCATTAGTAGGAGCGGCAAGGACTCCGTGAAATTGTAGGCCTGCAAGAGACGCGGCGGCCAGGGCCAGTGACGGGAGAGACCACATGACGGAGACCCGAATTTAGGTGAGAGGCCGTTGTGAGAGACTTGTCGGATATGAGGCAATCTTCACGAGCGACCAATCCTAACACTCGTCCGATCAAGTGGAAAACGTGGAATAAGGTAGACCTCGAAGTGAGCGTCTGAGATGGATATGTGCTGTCTTTTGGTAGCAAAACCCTTGGTTGAAAACATCCGGATCTAAACTTTGACCCCGAAAGATGCCGGTCCTGTCTGGTCTGGCCATGTATCGCGACCCCGGCTGCAGGACACCGGGTTGTGGGATGTAACCTTGCCATCAACTAATTAGTGGATGTGGCAACGGGGCTTTCGGAAAGCGGTTGAGCTGCAACTTGCAAGTTGGTCGGCCCACCATCAATATCTATCACAAATACGACCCGCGAAGGATCGCTCGGGCTGTGCCGCAATCCACCCATAATGCTATGACCCTTCCTGTGTGCTAAGTCGCATACTTTACCCAGCTTCTCGTCACATGATTGTGGAGAAAGACTTTCAAGTCACAAATCTCCAACAGGGATGAGTCATGAATCGGTCATGCTCATGAGGCAAGAATGAATCACTGGGTTGCTGGCTTTCCTCGGGGAGAAAGACAACACAGAACGCTGGGAAAGACGAACATCCTTGCAATCTGCAGGCAAAGGAAAGGAACCTGCAGGATGCTTGCGTTAGTGTGCGGCGTCGAAAGAAGGTTGGTACACTATCCCTGCCAAGGTCTCCCGGAACGTTCGAAGCTGGTTCCTCATCCAATCGTGTGAGCCCCGGGTCGCGGAGCTCTCCCCAACCAACTGCGTGTTACTAATAGCTAGAAATCCCACTTTGACGGGGCTCTCGCGCCTGATCTTGAATAGACCCCAAAATCTCAATTACATAGCGACTTCCACAATGCAACAAAGCTTCTTAAGTGAAGTAGAGGGGCTTCGTGGCAGAATTCAGGTTTTCAGGCTACAAACTTGCAGCAGTCGTGGCGTCAAGTCTGGTGTAGCTGTGTTGGTTCGCTGTGTTGGTGGAGACATCTTGTAGGGGCAGTATAAGCGACCCTATCACAATCACAACATGTAGGTAATCGTAAGATGTACACCAAAAGAGCAAGAAAATGTCTGCCGTTTGTTGGTTGTTGACTGTTGGTTGTCGTTGGCAAGGGTTTCTAAATTGGCCTTCCAAGTTCGGTCATCATCTCCGCTCGTTTTCTTTGGAGCCGAACGTAAGGTGACCGGCTAAGCTGGCCGATTGGAATGATTTCTGACCATCACTTGGAGATACGCCTTAATGTTGGAACCAACTACGTTCTAGATGGCGGCTATCCGGAATGTGGGAGAAACAGGCACGCTCTGGGAAAATCCTCCCATGAATTGAGATCTTTTTGCCTATGTCTGTTGGTTCATGACCATGTTGTTATTGAATGGGTACCACCGACAATCAATCTTGGCTGATCCCACATACTCGGAATTAGTGCTTGTATTGATGAGCTGTTGGTTTTGATTGCGATCTCGATGGTGCTACTATTCAGGCCTGGGACGTTCTCACACATTGCTCTCGAAGCTCTGGTATAGGCAAGTAAAGTAGATGTGATTCCGAGAGGGTCTGCGGAGAAGATTGACAGAAGAACAAGAAAAGAGCCTCGTTCGCACCAGCTCAGGTCGTCATATATCACGCTACATGCAAAGGTGATTTCATATTCAGATATTTGCCAATAGTGATACAAAATGAATTTCATAATTCGCCGACGCAGGTACGGATACACCGGAAGCGTCGGGTACACAGAGATCCATGTATGAAGAGCATTCCTTGGTGCGTCCCATGGGAAACTCAATCAAGTCACATTTAGCGATGCATATATGCGGCACGGCGATGATAAAGAGACTTCTTGGCTTGGTACTTCTGCATGAGAGATATCCCGAACCCCTGGTACTCGGGCGGACTGCAGTCTACACGTCTACCCGGCTACAGATTCTTCCTTTGTTACTCCGGAGTCCAGACATGTTACTCACCGTTTGAATTCCATTCCTTCTTCTCTTCTGTCCCTTGGCTTTCCTCCTGGTGTTTCTCTTCTCTCGATTTTCGAGTTTCCCTGCAGCTGCAATATCCGCAAGATGGCAGCGACGGCAGCAACTCCACCACTTCACTTCACGGAATCTCCAGGATATGCTGGGCCCAAGATCTTGCAACTGAATGTTGCGCTCATAGTCTGCACTTCTATCATAGTGGGATTGAGACAATATGTCCGCGCCTTCATCGCGAAAGCCTTGGGTTTGGACGACGTCTTGGCATTCCTCGCATGGGTTAGTCGCCACCTCAGCGTTTGACTGGATGAAAATGAGTTACTTGGGTCTCTGACTGAAACTTGCACACATCTAGGCAGGACTGACTTTTGAGTCTGCTATGGATATCTGGCGTGAGTTGACGTAATATCAAAAAATACGATTCATAACTAATCCCATTTCAGTGGTGCAATATGGAAGTGGCGCGCATCTCAAGTATATCCCGAAGGCTGACTTTACAACATGGTTCGAGGTGAGTTTGAACTGAAAAACCTTCCTTCATCCCTCCAAAGATGCTCATAAATGTTTTGATTGTAGGGAATTGTCACGAATGGCCTGCTCTACCTCATCGGTACTGGCCTAATGAGACTCTCAATCGTTGCCTTCCTGCCACGCTTGAGCCAAGACAGCATGCTAGCCATAATATGCCACTACCAGTATCACTTAAGATCTAACATCATGCACAGGAACCTTCCTTATTCTGTCTTACACGACGGGATTCTTCGTCATAGCGCAGACACTGGGATGTGTCATCTACCGCTTGACCCAGTGCAGCCCTCTCTCGTACGTTTTTACTAAGTCACCTATCATAAGGTCACCAATCTCTGACAGTTCTTCGATAGGCATTTGTGGAAGCCACCCTTTTTTCCTGGGAAGAACTGTGTCCCGTCCGAATATCAAAACACCATGATGGTTGTGCACCAGGTCGTCGGCTTGGTCCTGGACTTCTGCCTCATGGGCTTACCTATATGGGTGATCTACACCAAGATGCTCTGGTCGAAGAGGGCGTTCCAGGTGATATGTGTCTTCAGTGTCGGCATCTTTGTCGTGGCTACCGGCTGTGTTCGTCTGACAATGATGAAGAAGAGCCAATTTCTCTCTGACCCGTAAGTTTGACCATCCAGGCATTATGCTAGGAACACCAAGTTGCACAGCTGACAAAAGTCTCTAGGACATTCAACATGTCAACAATTGGCATCTGGACCAACCTCGAGGGACACGTCGGCCTCTGGGTCGCATCCTTCCCTGCACTTCAGCCGCTCATCCGGATCGTATCATTCAAGCTCGGCTTCCGTAGCAAGCTACAGAGTTACGGAGGTGAGGGGCCATCTGGGACGGGTGGTGGTGGTGGTGGTGGTGGTATGCGTTCCAAAACAGGGCCGTGGCTGAGCGTGCCCAGGAGCAAGGCCGGTTATATTCGCAATGGGAGTGGTTCCGACGCCGCTGATAATCACAGCGAACGTGGTCTTGTACCACATTACAAGGGGGACGACGGTACAGAGATGGACACCATACAGGTCACAGATGGCAAGGTATCCAGAATTCAGAAACAGGTTGAAGTCGAAGTCAAGGTGGACAAGGCGCCGGCTCGGTGCGAACGACCGACTTACACGTCTGGACAGGGTTCCAAGAGCTGGGTTTCAACGACGTCGTGAGAGAGCTACATCAGTACTTTATTCAGTAGAACCTGTTCTGGTAGTACCAATAAAATTGACCATTCGTATAAACATTATTGCATTCAAATGGGTATATCTAATTGACAGGCTTTTTTCATCGGATAAAATCTTGAGATGACCCGGAGCCATCGCTTGGTACATGTACAGCTCTCAAGGCTAGCCATTCGTGCGCACCTTCTGACTTCCGAATTTTCTTAGATGGACTCAATCCAGAAACAGCCACACTCTCACATGGATGAATAGGTGTAGCACAGAGGACCGCTCAGGGTGTCCATGTAGTCCTTGACGACGGGCTCGACGTCGACGAGTTCCAAGACAGGCATGGTATCTGTGATGGAGGCGGAGATGGTCTTGTCGGGGTTGTTGAAGCCTGCGTAATCGGTGAGGCGGGTAGCGTTACGCCCTTGCCACTGCGAAGAAAATTAGATAATGCATCTTGCGCAATTCCGCTCAGCTGTGTGCAAGACTTACCTTGGCCCAGGCACGGTCAACATTGCCGTGGTGGAGGAAAAAGAGAGGCTCGTTGGGCGAGGTGGCGGGACCCATGTCACCAAAGATGATGCTGTGAACTGCCAGTCTGTCAGCATGACCGAAGTTAAGTGAGAAAAGATATGACATACTCTGCGCATGCGGCAGTCCCTCGAGCATGGAGACCATATCGGGGAACCTGTCGAAACCGTAGATGGTGTTCATGGTCCTCGAGTTGTATGCTCCCGCCTGCATATCACCAATAATAGGATCGCCATTCGCGTCGTTACCCTCGCCGCCGTTGAACTCGCGCGTGAAGCAGTGCAGCCTGTTTCCGGGCGTGTTCATATCAGGCCACCCCATAGCCAACGTCAAGTTCGTGTTGGCAAACGGACCGTCGACCACGCATCGCTGGAAGCCCGGCACGTCGCTACCCGTGCGCTTGCCATCCCCACCAAAGCCAGTGACCGGGTCAAAGACGGGGGAGTGCTGCGTATCGAGGGCGTCGGCGTCGATGCTCCAGTCCCAGTATGGCTGCGTTCCCTTGAAGCCGCACTCGGACCGGAGGAGGTCCTCGTGGAGCTTGACGTACCAGCGGTGCCAGGGGAGGAAGTTTGCGACAAAGTGGATGTCGGTGTTGAGGGCGAAGTGGGTGTAGACGAGGTCGTCCATGCGCGTTGTGACGGCGTCGATGGCGGCGTATTTTGCTTTGGGGAGGTTGCGGAGGCAGACGGCGGCGCGGATGTACTCTGCTTTCTCGGTTGTGGTGAGTTCACGCCATTCTTTGCGGACCTCTGGATTTGTGCAGGTCGTGTCGGCGCGAGGGATTGCGGTTGCGGCGGCCGTTGCTGCCAGGGAGAAGAGAGTGAGGAGCGAGCGGGACAGCATCATGGAGTGGAGCGGTTGTTGAACGAGTGAGGGATGGGTTGGTCTGTAACGAAGGACGACTCAAGCCACGAGCTTATCGGAAGTGCGAGGATGACGATGAAGCGAGTTTGTTTGATGACTGGTTGGGAGGTGGAGGGAAAGCCGCCATCGTGGCCATGGCCCACCTCTTATGTCTACCCTCCTGCGAGGTGCCATGCTTCAAGATGGGTCCCTCGGCCAAGTCTTGGTTCCTCCGTAGTGGATGATATGGAGGCCGTTGATCTAACTTGCCCTGTTGACCCATGCGGTCCGGCTCTGATGTCACATGGCGGCCCGTTCTACACTCTTGGCATGTTCGTGTTCAAGATGCGGCTCGTCAACCCAAGTAGATGCCCGGGATGCCCCTCTAATCCCCCGCGCTAGAATCAGTCGGCCCCTTTTTGACGCCTTGGCACGTTCGTGTTCGCCTATGAGAAGACTAACCGATGGCACCGGCTTCGGTTTCTTGATCCGAAAACTTGGTCAATTCGTGTTCTGCCGTTCTTCTCCCTCTTGGGAACCCACTAGGGCGCGGAAGCATAAACGGTTTAAGATTGTGACTAGGATGAAGTGGATGGAGCTACTCCATACTAAAGTCGTATTAATAGCGTATGGGGCCCCACGTTAAATCTCTGTCCTGGATAGCCGACGACAATGCTAGGAATTAATCGCGTTTAAAAGGGCACATGAAAGGGACACGGGGCAAGACTTGTGTATGGAGTCGTGCGGTGCCAGTTCTTGCGACGGCCTGAAGACATTTGAGATGTTGGTTACAACTGCTTTGCAAAGATTCGTGAGGGCGTGGTGCAAATTGGCTGGGATCCGTACAAGTTGCTTCTCAAGGGGGAGCAACACAATCGGCTTCAAAATTACCCAGCGAGACATCCTGCTTAGCCAAAAGCTACTGAGTTCTTAGCCAAAGTTAACCATAAGGCCGGCCATGCCGTGGTAGATGCCTGGTCATGAGACTCGGGAAGCCTTCCTCGACGTCCCCGGCCAAGCCGAGATTTGATGTATGGCGGAGGGCTTTTCTTGCTGATGAGGCGGTGCTGTCCGTGCACGCTCGCCAAGAGCTAGATTGCATTAGTCAGAAGTTAGTAAATTAGCAAGCTTATTAACCTCGTCTAAGCCAGCAGTTTTCGCCTGCTCGTCCACATCGTGAAAAGTCGGTGAAAACTTCTCAAAAATTGAAGATGATAATAAAAACATACAACACCAGGTATTCGCTGGTCGTCACCGACCCAACTACTAATCCGGCCCTCATTGGCTTATCTATGGGAGAGCGGACGGGATCCCGAGTTTTCCAATGGGTATGGTCGTATGTGGTAGAAAGACAACTGTCAGAGGCTTAAGATGATACGGCAATGGCTTCAGTCGCGAATTACCCCTTTGATCGATACGCCATCATCTGCTGCCTGTTCGGAAGTCATTATATGTAAACTGTCAATTTGAGAAGGTTGTTCTTAGTCTGTTTAAGGTAGGCGGCACACATTGACGATGGCGGGTAAAAAAGAAAGGATGAAAGCAACGTAATAGGAAAAGGTTGAAGAGATATCGGTATTAATGGCTACATACTAGCCTTTGTATAGAAGTTTTATCGAGCGCTGTTAAGCGTTCTGGTATAAAATTCTCAAGATTCTCCGTGGCCAGACCATGAGTGCCATGACAACTTTTGAGCCATTTCTCAGCTCAATGGTCCGCAATCTCGCTCTTGTGGATTCTCTGTCATCATCAATCCAAGCACAAAGTTTGGACAAGCGTTTTTATAATCTTAGTATTTGTGGCTTTTGAGCATGTCATATAGTATCTCATCTAACCAATGATAGATATCTCTATGGAACAGGCCCTCATCGTTGACTGACTGTAACGAAATGTATGATTTAATCTTAGTTAGTGGTGAAGCCAAAACATGACCAGTGGCTCTTTCCGTGGTCTACATGTATGTACATCTGGGCTTTGGTGTTAGATTAACTGGGAAGTCTTCTATGACTGATGGTATCCTTCGTAGGGCGAGCGTTTCAGCTATGATTCGCGAGGAAGGTAGGAAACTTTAAAGCCTATCACTTAGCCTATCTCCTCTTAATCATCTACGATCTCACTCCTAGATGATGATGAGCCGGTGGTTACAGAGTGGCTGACTCTCCTACGGTTGCCGAAACTCCATCTCGGCCACCATCTCTTTCCTCCCGACCGTACACTAGCGTAACCCTCGGAGCCTATATCATCTTCCTCAGGGACGCGCTGTGCCGGCCGAGACAGCAGCCTTCCGACGGTTCCTCTCCCGGCAATTAAGAAACAGAACGCCGCAACGGCTACTGTCAAAGGCCCTGCGACCATCCAGAAACGGGCCTGCACGTCGCCCCACTCCATCCCAAGGCCGTCCGTCCCGCCGCTCATACTTAGGTACGATGCCACAAAACTGAGAGGCAGAAAGGTGACGGTCACGACGGTGAAGACGAATACTGCTCGGCCCTGATCATCCGCCATGATCTCGGTCAGCTCACTTACGAGTCCCTTCATATCGACACAGAGCTCTAGTATCCCGTCAAGATTTTGGTCCTCTCGGTTTACGGCGCGCCTAAGCTCTTTTATGAGCTGACTTTCGATTCCAAAGAGGATGATTCTAGCCGTGTCTTTGGGCAGTGGCGGATGAAGTGTTTCCGGAAGAATCAATGCAATGAAGCTCTGAACGTATTCCTGCTGTAGTTCGACGATGTCTTTGAGAAGGTTCAATTCGCTACTCAGAGCGCCGATTTGAGGAATCTGCCTCTTGGTAGGCTTGCGTTGAATTTCGGACCCCTGCATACCGAATGATGTTAGTCTTATCCAAGCCCCGATACTGCAACTCCTCACTCACGAGCTTTTTTGCATATGCTGTGAAGAGATCAGAGACCTTCTTCCTGTTGTGAACCGGGTGTTGAAATAGATTAAACATGATCTGAAGCGACAAGTAATTGAGACCAACGGACGTCATGAAGTGTTCCGCGTTGTTCTCCTTGGCCAGACCTGTCGGTGATACGAGCGTCCGTTCCGCCTTCCGGATTAGGTCCCCCATCACCTCTCCGAGTCTGTCTAATACTGTCCTTTGCGACTGAAATTTCAGCGATGTCAGATCTTGCGTATTGTGATTAAAGTCATTGTAGAACCACCGTAGCTCATGAAGCGCCTCCGGGAGTGCACACACGAAGATGACGATCAGCTTGAAAGCGTCAACAAGATAGTACGGGATGCCCCGGTCCGACCCTCGGAATTTGTCATCGTCCATTACTCCGCTTTGTATTGCCACAAGTTTCCGCAGCGTGGATGCCAGAATGTTGCGACTGGTGACGAGAAGCTCGCAAAGCTCCTCGTTGAGTCGCTCAGAAAGCGCAGCCGGCAGAGGAATGAGGTAGTCACGTAGCACTCTGTCGGTCTTTGATCTTATCAGGTGCATTTTGCGCAGATGCTCGACGCCCTTCTCTGGAGTGGAATAGATCATGCCTCTCTCACAATCGGGGCATTTTGCCTCATCAGTGCCGTGACTCAGGACGAATCGCAGGTCTGCTTGCTTAATCAGGTCTCTAGAGACGACCAATTTCCGTGTTGACTCATCGTCTGCGGGGGTAGATTCATGCGGCTCAATATCATCATCAGCCTTGTGAAGCAGCTGACTTGACGTTGGATCCTATACCAACTTTAGTCGACAATGATTCTACCTTTTTGCATGCGAAGGTTACCTGTAACTCACCGTCATGACTTTTGAAAGCGCACCAAAGTATTTCGTCATAAGGGACGAGTTGAATTCGGACACGACGAAGACTTCAAGCGCTGGCACAGAGACACTGAAAAAGCCTTCGGCAAGCGCACTTAGTTTTGCTCGTGAAGTCCGGGGACTGCTGGGAAGTCCCAGGTCATTCACCTGTGATCGCCGCCTGTGACTGAAGTCTCCGAAGGTTCCGTTTGGGGCCCCTTCGTAAATGTTGCTTCCAAAAGCATGATAGACCTGCTCAATAAGGAGGTTGGTTTTTGAATGATGGAATTTGTAAAGTTGAAGTAGATCTCCTTCGACTTCATCTAGTCGTTCTCTGAATCTGGCTGCGGGTGTTGATGCATTCACTCCTCTAGCCTTTGGCTTCCAGTCAAAAAATGGAGGAACTCTGCTGTTCAGTTTCGGAGTGTCGTCCGACAAACCTGCAAAACTTAGTTCACTGTGTCCGCTTCAGTGATCAATTGCCAAACCTACTGGGTACGACATCTTCAACTATGGTAAATTCCACGAACTTTTGCCTGGAATGACTCCAGCTAGGTCCGTATTTCTTGTTTTCCTTCGATGCAGAAATATCCGCGCTGTGTTGTGGCCCTTTGGTGCTGTCATCAAGGTCCAATGAGGGGATATCAGATTTGGCCGAGCCTCCTCTTGTACTGGAGGACTTGTACAATTTACTGCTATTGGCGCTCATTATAGTTTCTGCGTCCGAGTCCTCGCCGGAGTAAAAGTTGAGTGCCAACTTGAGAACTGGGACATCCTCGAGCTTCAACAAACTAGACCATCTTGAAGCGTTTAGCGCTTCGCCGTTTGGCAAAGAGAAGCTTAGGTCGCAATTATCCAGGCTCGTGTTGGACTCTAGCTGAATTAATTTATCTCTGGCGGAGGTTTCCAGCTCCTATCCGAGGAGAGTTAACAGTCAGGATCCAGAACGTGTGCACTAGGCGGCATGGAGATAGCCAAACCCACATAGAAACTTCTGCATTTATCTGCTGGTAGATAAAATAGCCTTCGTTCCTCGTCCACGATTTGAATGACACTATCTTCCCTCGCGTCATTCGGTCGTTGCTCTCTTATGGCGATGCTGTCTCCCTGAAGTACTTCCCGAGGGACGACGCCGTAAGTCAGAAGGCCTGAATTCTGTTTTAGCTGCCTCATTCCAGAGACGTTTTGCGGGCTTACTTCTTGGAGAGACTTACTGGAATCGCTCACGAGGATCCAAATCTGGCCTACCCAAAGAACCTGGCCTTGATTTCTGCCTTCGTTTTGGTAAAAGTGTTGCTTCTTGTCCTGTTCGACCGAGCCGAGCAGGCTAAATGCCTCATGTAGCCGGCGAGGTAAGCAAATTCCGTCACCCTGGTATTTTTTACGATTGCTCTTGAAAGAGTCCGCGTACAGATAGGGAACGGATATGAATGTGACTGACGCGGAAACTTTCTCACCTGGCCTCGTGTCGCATCTCAACACCGTTCCAGGTTTGATGTACCATTCGTCGTCCACCTTCTTCTTGCTGATTGATACGAAAAGCTGTTCCACCGAACTTCTGGTTGCCTCATCGGCTCTAAAATGGTGTGTCGACATTCGCTGGGTCGATTAGGCTGCGACGAAACAAAGGTTTAATCCAGGACCTACTTTGAATTCTTGGAGATTCATGACGGGCCTAGTGATATGCCTGAATCGCAGTTTGGTCAGGCTGGCCAATATCTTAGAGAACAGTGATCACACACCTCCACGTCATCGTGCTGGCCCCTGTTGGGTATTTCTCTTGACTCGGGGGCCCGTGTACAGGTCGCTGCTTCACAAGCTCCAGCGTGGTGAGCGTCGTCTTCTCAAAGCCGTCTCTGTAGATTCGAGCCGCACTCAGCTCCAGCACGTCTGAAGGAGCATTCACCGTCTTGATTGCATTGATAATTGTTGTAGGCCGCGGCAACGGCTTACTGGAAACGGCGCACGTAACAAGCAAGCCCCTCTGTAATATCAACTCGCGGGCCGCTTCAACCGTAATCGATCCGGTGCTGGAGTGAGTTCCATCTGAAATAACTGTGGATACATGCGAGTCGGACGAGGAGGTCGAAGAAGATGAAGATGAAGAAGACAGAGAGCCGGAGCGCTTCAGTTTAGCGTGCTTCTTCTTGGGACGCAAATTGAGAGAACGATCAGCAAAGCTCCGCGGCAAGGATTGGTCGATTATCATCTCATTCGCGAGCGTAGATCGGCGAGGCCTCTCCTGTGGTATGATAGCCAGATTGGGTTCGTAGGCCGAAGGGGGCGAGCTGACTGGCGGCGAGTGTGGTTCAGCAACTTTGTATTGCTTGGATGTAGGCGCCTTTGTTGGCTTTCCCGACATCCATGAAAGCATAGATCCGCGCGGCTTGGTCTTTCTTTTCGGGGGAGATGCCACATTGATACTTTCCCAATTAGATTCGGGCGGGAACCAGCCAGGCGGCGGAGGCGGAGGCGGAGGTCGCTCTGATTGACTTTGGAGTATTCGCGTCGGGCCAGAAAACGCACTCGGCGGTAAAGAGCCTCCCATTGGACCTGGACCTGGATGTATGCGGGGACGGCGGTATGGAATCCCAGCCGGCGGCATACGAAGAGGCGCCTTGTCCATCGGCCACATCCTCATTTCTATTACCCAGTCTGGTTGAACCAAACGGCTCCACAGTTGAGGTAGTATAATCATGCCCTCTGGGTCAATGAGGTCGTAATGGCCCTCCGCAACGTGCGGCCCGATAACATCGACGTGAAGAAACGCTTGCTTGATCAAATCCGCCATGTCCTGGTAAAAGTTAGCTTCGCCAACGCAATGCCATTTCTCAGAGCCAACTTACTCTCCACTTTCGAACCATGTCGAAGGGAAACCTGAACTTCCTCCCGACGGCGTCTTTAAACAGGATCATATCCATTCCCACTGTGCCACCGTCTTCATCGTGTGGGTTACTCGATGGTTTCTTGGGGCGTTTATTTGCGGTTGAGGGTCCGTTCTTCTCTTTTTCCATCGCGGGATCACCAACCGTGGCCCAGTCCCATGCTGTGCTTGCCTCGGCATCACCCTCAAGCGGGCCTTTGCCTTTCAGTTCAGACGTGTCTTCACGAGGGTCTTCTTCGACCGTGGGTGGTACATAGATGGTCGCCATCTCGTGGAGACTATATCGGCTGTATATAGCTACGAGAGAAGAGAGAAAGGGCACAGCGGCGCATCAGGTATTTAATTCCTCAGGAGTTTCGCAGCCTGATCGTGGATAGCCTTAGAAAAGCAATGGCTGGGTAGAGAGGCATTCCAACTGAGCTAAGCGCTGACAGCTGCATGCGGGGGCCTGTCTAATACATGGTAATCTAACGAGTGTGTCCATTTTGATGCAGCTGAATGAACAACTAGTGCTTATATCCTGCGAGAGTGTCGAGATTCTAGGGCTAAAACCGGCTGGCCGCATGCATGCACCCACGTGTCCTGGCACACAGCATCTACACGGCCAGACAACATAATTAGATGTATGGCGGATATGGAGTGATCAGGCTGGCCAGAAAGCGTCAATCCTTTCACACCGAGATGCCGCTGTAGGCGATTGCACCCAGTCAACCATTTCGCGCGATAAGCAAGTCGAAGGCGAGACTAGAGGTCGACGTATAGTTACTAGCGGTCAGGTACGAAATGTTAGCGACGGCGGCATTCCACCGTATGGGAACAATAATTCGCTCGATCCCGCGGATTAGAGGCCATGGACGACGCATGACTTGCTTATCCGGCCAATTAGGGCAGCTAGATGCGAGCCACAGGCTCTTGGTCAATCGCGCCCATAGCCGCCTCATTAGACCTTGGAGAAGAAGGACGACAGCGTTACGGCCACAATAGCATTTTGATCTCCAAAAGAGATCCCGGTGTCAAGGTCGTTGTTCCCCGTATGTACGTGTGCCCGTGATACTGACACTGATCAGAGGTCAACTTCACTGTTGTACAGGCGGGGTAAGGCAGCTGGGGGCTCTTTCCTTGCATGGAAAGAATTCAATAGGAGGCTAACGATATGGCGCGTCATACTAGCAGTAAGATACTGCACGTAATAGTGTTCCCACCGACAGATACCAAATTGATACTATTTACCGTCTACCGTAATGGATCTTGAGCTTTGAATAAAATGATACACAATGAGAATCAAGCTTAACGTGTTTAGAATGAGATGAAACAAAATTAGAGGCGAATTCAAGTCACATTCTGATGAGAAATAGATGAGCCCAGGTCTCAATTGAAGAATTATATCCGGTGCTGTTTGGTGGAGAGGCTGGATGTTGGTATAACCATAGTCCTTTATCATCCGGCCAAGCGAAAGCATTGATGCAACGATGCCTTTGTCATGAGAAAGTAGATAGATAGGACTGGGAGAGTAGCCGCTGGTGAGAACCATATCATACAGCCAAAGTGTCTTAAGTCTACCAATTCATCTTACTCTAGGTAGGCGATTAGTGTTGTTCAACTTAGAAGCCTTCTTACTTAAAGACCTTGACTTACGCGTTTCGATGCTGAGCTTTTCCCAAGAATGCTATCCTCTTTCTAGTAGTCGATATTTCTATAAATCTTATAAGCTGTTAAAGAGCTCATGTGATAGTACCGAGCTGTGCCTACAGGCTAATAAAAGCTTAAGTAATAAGGCTCGACTAATAGTCGTCTTTAAAAAAATAGTCCCTCGCCTCTT